TGCCATCCAGGTGTGCGGGCAAGCTGCCACTTATTTGGTTGTTAGACATATTGAGATATGTTGCCTGTGAAACTGTATATCAAAACCAACCAGGAAACTTGTCCACTAAACCGGTGCTTGAGATGTCAAGATGAGTGATTCCTCGCAGCTGCTGAAGCCAGGCTGGAAATAGAGGACCGACTTGGCAAGATGCCAAATCTGCAATCTGTAGCGAAAAGGGAGAATGCCAATCTGAATCCACAACAATCCTTAAACTATTGGAAGACAAGTCTATGCCCTTTAAACTTTTCAGGTTTGCAAAGTGTTCTTCCGTGATCACACCACTAAGGTTGTTGTTGCTTAGATCCAATCCAACCATATTCTTCAGGTAACCTAATTCATTGGGTACACTTCCATTGAGGTGATTACTGGAGAGGTCTAGGGTGGTTAAGCTAGTTAAATGCATAACTTCTGGTGGTATAGGTCCAGTAATTTTGTTATCTTTGACAGAAAGGATAGTCAAATGCTTCAGTTTTCCAAGCTCGGCTGGTATACTTCCGGTCAAGTTGTTGCTAAATATGACCAAATAAGTTAGAGCAGTAAGAGCACCAATTTCAGTTGGTACATTCCCATTGAGCTGATTCATGCTGAGATCAAGGTAAGTTAAACGCACCAAATTCCAAAGCCCTAGTGGTATAAGTATGCCCAAGCTGGTGAATTCCCCAACAACATTCGGCAGGGTCCCCATGAATTTGTTTTCACTGAAATGCAGCTCTTGCAATTTTTCCGGTGCGCATTGCAACCCTTCCATCAACACCACTATATCTCCATTTATAGAATTATATGAGAGGTCGAGTATTTCCAAATCACAGAGATTAATAAGAAGATTTTTAAGGTTTCCAGTCTTATTCAGATTGTTGTCTGACAAATCAAGTACCTTGAGCGACGTCATATTTCCTAGTGCGTCCGGAAACTTTCCAAATAACTGATTCTGACGAAGACTGAGGTATTTGAGGCTTGTTACTTTCCAAAACCAACTTGATGCAATTGAGTGGTCCAAATTATTATAAGAAAGATCAAGCTTCTCAAGTTTCGTGAGGTTTAGGTAGGGAAGCGATTGGCTTGCAGTATCAAGTGAACATTCAGCAAGATTGATAACCCTTAGAGATGGAATCCGATTCAAGGTACGAGGCCAGTCAGTTATCCTTGAGAGATCTATTGAGCTCATGCTAAGGTACTGCAGCAATGGTAGCTTTGTTAACCATATGATGTCCGTTGCGTACATATTAGAATAACTCTGACCAAGGTCAAGATGCTGCAACTTAGACAGGTTACCAAGCAGAGAAGGAACTCTACCCGTAAATGGCATGCCAGAGAGGTTGAGATATCTCAAGTTCTTCATGGAGCCCAAGAACTGAGGAAATTGATTATTTGGCCCTAGCAAACAGTTCATGCTAAGATCCAAGTGCTCTAGATGATTCAAGTAAAGCAGAGAGGGACTTATCTCGCCGGACAATGAATTAGCATCAATGCACCCATCGATCTCCGGATCATTTTCAATGTCTGGATGTGTATTGCGAAGGCGGAGCTTGATGACATGGCCTGTTCGGTTGCTACAGCTGACGCCCCTCCACTGGCAGCAATCATGTCCGCGCCACGAGGCGAGGAGGTGAGCGCCATCACTTGTGATGCCCTTGTGGAAGGAGAGTAAGGCGGCCCTCTCAGCTGGGATGCAACCGCCGCCATGGGCATGTTGTGGTTGAAGTGCTAGCGCACACACTGCTTGTGAAGATGAAGCGATGCTTATGATGATGAGGATGAGCAAGAGATTGGTTGCGCGATGCATGCTCGAAGAACAAGCACTGGGTAACATCAAATGCACTACTAGATCTGTACGCTATATATGTATACCGGAGTACCAGATATGTTTGGCCACATTCCACTAGGCCCGTGGAGTCCACTGTCAAAGTCGAAGTCGTCCACTGAACTACTTGCCTGCCTGCAATGACTAGGTAGTAGGTACAGTCCAAGTCACTACTCAATTATGCACACCGCACTCTTGAGTCTTGACTGAAACCAGCTGGTTAGTATTCCACTAGTCCTTTTGTACAACTTGGGCAGTACAACATATGACAGCAAAGCAAAAAAATAAGAGATTGAAAAGAGCATAAGCAGCACAAAATTCGTGTCAGCGGACTCGACTCCCCTGACTGCTGGATCCACAGTACAACAACATCCAACGTCCCTCCTTTCCTTGCAGTACTCTGCTGGGTCTAGCAGTACTCTGCGTCCTCTTGTAGTTACAGCAAAACTGAAACTTGAGGGAGAAAAGAGAAGGAAGCTGCTACAGTTTTTGGCACTAATAAATGAAGCTGGAAAAATGGTGTTGACAAACAAACATGCTGATGGAAGTCTCAAACACGACTGGACTTAACCGGACTGAATCTACAAAGTCTGACGAACCAGAGGTCCAGATGAAACAAGCACTAGTAGCATTTTTCTTAAGAAAGGAGCTACTACTACAACTCTGAAAGAGCTCCAGGTGTTGTTGTTTCTGAATTCATTCATGGTGGCCAAAATATATATTCAGCAAATAGCAGGCCGGCGACAAGGCCCCTGTTTGGTTTGAAACCGCCACTGAGCGCATGGGCAGGGGATTCAGTCGCCCATGCCGCTCAAAATCTTTCTGCTTCTTTTGCCTTCTCTTTTCGTTGCTTTAGGGTTGTCTTAGCTTAGGGTTATTTTGTGACTTCTTTTGGTCTGTGATAGGCTTCTTTGTCACCATGTGCAGATTATGTTTCAAAGATAGTTTTTATTTAAAGTGGAATATATTGTGGTAAATTCTAATTTTCCAAATTCACTTGCTGCTTGTCGATTATAAGAACAGCAGGAAATAGGAACACCAATTATTCAGCGAAAGTATTAAAAAATTGGTTAATACTCCCTCCGTAAGAAATATAAGAGTGTTTATATAACTAAACTAGTGATCTAAACGCTCTTATATTTCTTTACGGAGGGAGTACATAGTTCGGTTCCAAAAGAACATGTTCACACAGCCACAATCATCAGAGCCAAGTGATCAACCAGCCTGCCAGTGGCAGAGCTCACACGCTACCCAGCTTATTTTGAACCGCTTCCAAATTCAGACGATCAGTCGATCACTACAGTCCTTGGTCCACAAAATAATAGCGCACCAGTGGAGCCCGGGGAATGGGAAGCAACTGCAAATGTATCCATCAGAGTTAGAATTCACCTCCTAACACACAGTCCTTGGTCCAGTTCCTGAGTGGGACTTCCCCAGATAAACTCATCATTGTCTTCAATGCTACCTTGTTAGAATTCATCTCCTTTCCAGGGAACAGTTTACACGGAACACTTCAAGGCTCACATATTGTCAAACACGGTAATGTCGGTACTCTTGATCTTGGAGATAACAGCATCAGTGGCAAGATTCCAGAATCTATAGGTCATCTCAAGAGATTATGGGGAGCTGCCACCAAGTCTGACCAACTGCACAAATCTCATAACTATCGACTTCAAGATCCAACAATTTCGGCGGAGGACTTGCCAAGGTCAATTTCTCCAACCTGCCCAATCCGAAAGCATTAGTTCTTATGCTCAACAGGTTCAGTGGAAAAGTTCCAGAAAGCATCTACTCATGTTGCAATCTAATTTCACTGCGACTATCTTACAATATGTTCTATGGCCAGCTGTCAGAAAAAATAGGCAGTCTGAAGTTCGTCTCATTCCTATCACTTCTAACAACAATCTTACAAATATCACAAGTGCACTTCAGATACTTAGGAGCTCCAAGAATCTCACCACCCTTCTTATTGGGCTCAACTTCATGAATTAGATGATGCCAGATGCTGACAGCATCGCCGGTTTTGAGAATCTTCAGGTTCTGGCAATAACAGATTGCTTATTGTTGGGGAAAATACCTAATTGGCTATCAAAGCTAACAAAAAATGGAGTTGTTATTTTTAGAAAACAATCGAATAACAGGACAGATACCTGACTGGATCAGCAGCCTAAAATTCCTATTCTCTACGCATATCGAATAACAGCATGACAGGAGAAATCTGAACATCCTTACTGCAGATGCCAATGCTAAGATCAGAGAATACTGCAACCAATTTATGCAGGTTCATCACTTCAATACCTGTTACCAATGGCTTTCCCAAAAGTGTTGGATCTAAGTAGCAAACTAACAATAAATTTACTGGTGAGATACCATTGGAGATTGATCAGCTGAAAGCCCTCCGTTCACTCAATCGCAGCTTCAGTGACTTGAGGACAGATCCTAGAATCAGTATGCAATATCACAAACCTGCAGCACCTAGACTTGTCCAACAACAATCTCCCAGGTGCAATCCCAGCTGCATTGAACAGATCTGCAATTCCTTGCACTGTTCGACGTTTATGAAAATGATCTAGAAGGTCCTATTCCATCAGGAGGTCATGTACGGCCGTTTTTATTGCACAATTAAAGCTAGAAAAAAAATCTCCGACCCCAATGTAATTAACCACTATCCAGCCCAGAAAAGGACCAAATGCAGGTCTACAAATCATTATGTGCACAACACTCTTCAGGAGTGCATCAGATAGTACAAGATTGTAAACTGAATGTTTTGCAGGAATTTCCATGATTGATTTAGTCCATCCAGATGACCAGCCCATCATGCAACAACAAAAAAACTAAATCACTGTGATCGTAGAAATAAGTTCAAATTATTCAGCGAAAGACAATCATGATTACAGTACAGGACAATCATGATTGCGTATTGGGATAATTACAAATACAGAAGTCTTGCATGTACCACGAAAGCTACATAACTGTAAATTCACAAACATATCAGAAGAACTAAGCATCGTCATCTTTATTTCGAGGTATAATTATAAACAGGGCACACGATGTAACATATGCTGCTTAAGGTCTTCCTCAGGCTGGTTAGTAGTACAGAACTCTTGTTCAACGGGTCGCGGCACAGGTGCTGGCTCCTTCAGGAAAATTGGAATGATTATTCTGCGGATGTGTTCTTGCTTGCCCACTTCACAACCACAAATACATAGACTTGATCGTACGCCTTGTCGAAGAGACGGAAATAAGCAATTCTCCAGGTCTTTTTGAACAATAGTGCACAAAACACCATCCAGAGCCCCACCACAAGTCCCAGCACAAGACCAAAATGAAAGGTCAGTGGATCAAACTCTTTCTTGCTGCTTCCGAGATCACCATGGATAAAAGAATCATTTCCTGGACAATTCTTTAGGAGAGGAGGTCCACAGAGTCCACTGTTGCCGATGTACATAAGTGATGGGTTGTCTACGCTGAGGGTGTCAAGTTGGCGGCCAGAAGGTATCATTCCAGACAAATCATTGTAGGACAGGTTCAAGGCAGCCAAAGATGTCAGACTTGATAAGCTTGATGGGATTTCACCAGATAGCTTGTTCTCAGAGAGGTCAAGAGATACCAGTGACTTCATGGCCCCAATCATGTTTGGAATTTGTCCACTCAATTTGTTTGATGATAAATTCAAATTCATTAGATCAGCAAGGGAAGTGATGTCAGTGGGGATTTCACCAGTCAAAGAGTTACCTGATAAATCAATGCTTACAAAATATGCAAGTGTTCTACCATATATAAGTTGTTGTCCTTTTGTTACTACTGACAATATTTCTCCGAGGTGACCAGCTCCTGTACCGATGATGATGTCATTTTCCTTGGTTCCATTATGCGTATCTCCCATAAACATGAATTCCATTCGTACCGACAGATGCCAAGGTATCGCACCAGAGAAATTGTTGCTTGACAGATCCAAGTACTGAAGATACACAAGGCTTGTTATGCTGTCTGGAATATTATCAGAAAATGCATTATGGCTCAGTAGTAGAAAACACAATTTCCCCATATCTCCTAGCCATGTAGGCAACCTTCCAGATAACTTGTTCCATGCAAGATCCAAGAACTGCATGTCTGTGTTATTCTGCAGAAATGCTGGGAAATATCCAGATAAACTGTTGTTACTGAGCAGAAGAAATTGTATTTTTTGGATGCCAAAGCATTGAGGAACATCACCCTCCAATAAATTGTTTGAAAAATCCAAATACAATAAATTTTGCAATTTGCAAATAGATTCTGGAATGTACCCACCAATTCGATTTGAATACATAATTAGTATTTGAAGTCGGGGGGCTTCAAGTTTTGATGGCATTACTCCTGAGAAGTTGTTACTGGAGATGTCTAACCAAGTGATATTTGGCGGCAACAAAGGTATTGATCCACTAAGCCGGTTTGAACTTAGGTGGAGTACTTCAAAAGCCATGCCATGCAGATGTGCTGGCAAGCTACCACTTATTTGATTGTTAGAGATGTCGAGATCAGTTGTCTGTGAAAATGTATACCAAAACCAATCAGGAAACTCGTCCTCTAAACCAGTGCTCGAAATGTCAAGTGAATATATTCCCCGCTGTTGCTGAAGCCAAGATGGAAAGAGAGGACCCATCTGGCAACAAGCAAAAGATGCAAACTGTAGACTAAAGGGAGAACGCCAATCTGAATCCGTTGCAATCTTCAAACCACTGTAAGACAGGTCTATGCTCTTTAAACTTTTTAGCTTTGCAAAGTGTTCTTCCGTGATCAAACCACTAAAGTTATTGTTGTATAGGGACAGATCAACCAGATTCTCCAGGGAACCTAATTCAGTAGGCATACTTCCAGTCAAGTTGTTCTTTGACATGTCCAAAGAAGTCAGAGAACTAAGGACACCAAATTCAGCTGGTACAGTCCCGTTGAGCTGATTCCAGCTGAGATCAAGCATGCTCAAGCTCTTGAATTCCCCTATAAAATTTGGCAGGGTCCCGATGAAATTGTTTCGACTTAAATGCAGTTGCTGCAATTTGTCCCATGCGCATCGTGGCAATCCCTCCATCAACATCACTATATCTCCATGCATATGATTTTCAGAGAGGTCAAGTATTTCCAAAGAGCAAAGATTTTTAAGAACATTTTTCAGGTTTCTAGTCATGTCCAGATTGTTGTCTGACAAATCAAGTACCTTGAGTGATGTCATGTTTCCTAGTGCATCTGGAAAGTTTCCAGATAAGTCATTCGCAGCAAGATTGAGGTATTTGAGGGTCGTCATTTTCCAAAACCAACTTGATGCAATCGAGTTGTCTAAATTATTCCAGGACAAATCGAGCTTCTCAAGCTTTGTGAGGTTAAGGTAGAGAAGCGATTGGCTTGCAGTATCAAGTGAACATTCAACAAGATTGATAACCCTTAGAGATGGAATCATATTCAAGGTACGAGGCCAGTCAGCTATCCTTGACATATCTATCCCACTCATGCCAAGGTACTGCAGCAATGGTAGCTTTATTAACCAGGTGATATCCGTTGAGTAAATCCCAAAATAATCACCAGGATAATAACCCTGGCTAAGGTCAAGATGCTGCAACCTGGACAGGTTACCAAGCTGAGATGGGACTCCGCCACTAAATGGTATGCCAGAGAGATTAAGATATATCAAGTTCTTCATGGAGCCCAAGAACCGAGGAATTTGGCTCCTTGGCCCTAGCAAACAGTTCATGCTAAGATCCATGTACTCTAGATACGTCAATGAAAGCAGAGAGGGACTTATCTTGCCAAACAATGAATTAGCATCACTGCATGCATCATCGTGGGCATAGGGGATGCGAAGCTTCATAATTGTATTGCGAAGGTGAAGCTTGATGACATGGCCTGTTTGGTTGCTGCAGCTGACGCCCCTCCACCGGCAGCAATCCTGTCCGTGCCACGAGGCGAGGACACCAGCGGCATCGCGTGTGATGCCCCTGTGGAAGGAGAGCAAGGCGGCCCTCTCAGCTGGTATGCAGCGGCCGCCACAGGCATGCTGGGGTTGTAGCGCTAGTGCATACACCGTTTGTGAAAAGGAATTAGTGATGCCTATGATGATGAGGGTGGTGAACCAGAGAAAGGTTATGTGAAACATGCTGGAAGTACAAGGGCTGGGTAGCTTGGGAAGCATCATACGAACTAGATCTGTATGCTATAGGCTGAGTATTACTAGTAGTATTTAGCTAGCTATGTAGCAGAGCCACACTAGCAGAGATGTTTGGCCATATTCTACAAGCCCCAGGGAATCCACTGTCAAAGCACGAGCTCGTTCAATCATTCAATCAGGTACAGTTCGTGGAATTTTGTGGCCAGAGTGTGATGGGAGTGGGACTAATTGCTTGCCCGCAATCACACGGTACTGTCAAGCTCACTACTCAATTATTATGCACGTACGCTGCAATCGGCACCGAAGCCGGCCGGCTAGTCTTCCGCCGGCCAAATTCATTTTTGTACAATATTGTTGAAACTCTCTACTAGTAGAGTTTTCAACTTGAAACCACATATGGCAGCAAAAGAGATACTCCCTCCGTAAACTAATATAAGAGCTCTTATATTAGTTTACATAGGAAGTAGAAAAGAAGATAAAGCAGAGCACAAAATATCATAGTAGTAGTACCTTGTAGCATCCTCCAAAGTCGAATTTAGCAGATGGAGGGCCAAGAACTGGCTCCAGCAGCTGATCCTCTATGTATTGACATCGCCAGTCCCGACATGCATGTTCAGGACTTGAGGTGAGAGGAAAACCATCCGGAGGGAAATTGGCTGTCGGGTTCCCGGAGAGGGAGAGAGGCGGCCGTCGGTAGGACGCGTGGATGTGGCCGCCGCGCCGCGCATATGCCGTCGGTAGGAGAGGGGCGGCAAACTGAAATTCTCCCGAACAAATCTTCTCCAGAAAGGAGCCCCGACCTCGCCTCTGCCCGAGTTCAGGTGAGGCGAAAACCAGATACGTCGTCAGAGGTCATTGGCCGTCGGGCGGGCGAGGGAGAGAGAGCGTCCAGCCACGAGGATGTGGCCGCCGCGCAGCCAGATACGCCGCCGGTAGGAGAGGGGAGGCAAACTGCCGCATCTATGAAGGGGAGGAACAGGGCGGGGTGGCGCAGCTGGTGGAGGGAAGGAGTAGAGCGGGGCGGCGCCTCTGGTGGAGGGGAGGCCAGCGACGGCGAGGCAGACCAGCGACGGCGGGGTCAGGACGGCAGGCGGGCGTCGGCTAACGCCAGTTCCAACGCACGACTCCACTTCGTCCGTTCGGGTCGGACAAAAACGATGCCCAGCCGCACTCTCATCTTAATCTTTTAGACGTGGATATCTCCCAACGTTCAGATCCAGTTCTTTTGGCCAATTCTCTCATAATCTTGAGAATTGATTCTCTACATTTTGAGCTCTTTTTTTTTAAATCATACCTAGTTAGGATGTAAACAACTAATAGGATTATAAAAAAAACATGGATTCAAGATTTTGGAAGAAGTTGAGTGAAGAGTCGATTCTTAAGATTATGAAAGAGTCGACCAAAAAACTAGGCCCCAATCTAAGATCTTCCCAGACTGAACGACTAGTTCGCTGGGATGCATCGATGAGAACATTCGGGCTAGGAAGGAGTCCACACCCAATGTTTCCTTCCTCAAATCAAACGAATCATTTTTTCTTGAGGCAAAGATCCAATGATTCCTACTGCCCACCCGCGCCGAACAAGGAAGCCCAAAATTTTGAAAAAAAAGGCCTAGGTGTGGCCCACTTGCCTAATGTTTGCACAAAACAAGCCCAAAAACAAAACAAAAAAATTGCCATGATGCGCGCGCACACTACTTGCATCATGGCAAAAAAAAACGTCTAAAATTGTCGTGATGCACACACATTACTTGCCATGATGCGAAGAAAAAAAGGTTAAGACGAATTGTGTGTAAATTGTCATGATGGCAAAAATGTATGCAAAATTGCCATGATGCTAAAAAACACTTCATGGCAAAAATTTGAATGAACTGCCATGATACAAGAACAAAACACAGATTTAGGTGGAGTCGGTTTAAATATTGCCATGATGCTAAAAACACTTCATGTCAAAAATGTGAATAAATTGCCATGATACACAAACATGGTACAATGCAACATACATGCAGAGTTAAGAAAAAGTTGCCATGGTAAGAAATTATTGTACGATAAAATTTGCCAGGTGGGCTATCGAACATCTCCCATGTATTTTGCTATGGTCTAATTACTAAATTTTCCATGCTCTAATTGTAAAATTTGCCATGTTTAGGAAATTGTCAAGGTCCAGACTAAATCTGTCATGGTTAAGTAAGAAAAAAAATCCATAGAAGATCACATCGCAATTTTATTGCACTGACCATGACAAATTTATTGTACTTACCACGACAAATTTATTTTGTATTGACCATGGCAAATTGCTAAAATGGAATTTAGTTTCATGACCCATAAGAAAAACACTTTGCCATGCTTCATGAAGTAAAAAATTGACATGCCGCACAATTTTTTTTTTGCCATTGTTGGAAAACTGAGAAAGAATTTGACATGGTCCGAATATTTTGCCATGGCAGTAAAAGTAAATTTTTTGCCATGGTGATATAGGTAAAATTGCCATGTCTATGAAGGTAAATTTGCAATGGCAAATGAGAAAGTAAATTTTTCCATGCCAATAAAAGGAAAAAAAATGCCATGCTACATACTAAAACATGCCATGGCATTAAAAGGTAAACTTTACCATGGTACACAAAAGTTAAAAATGCCACGAGAATGATAAAATAATAATTTGCCATGGCATAAAAGTAATTTTTCCCATGGTGATATAACTAAATTTGCCATGGAAAATGAAAAAGTAAAAAAATTGCCATGTCATTAATAAGTAAAAAATTGCCATGCTACAAAGTAAATTTTTTCATGATACTAAAAGTAAATTTTATGTGTGCTGTAAAGTTAAAATGCCATGGGTGTAACATGAATAAAGAAATTGTCCTTCCCCGTAAACTACATTTGCCAAGCTCCATGAACTTAGGTTGCCATGTTCCATTAGGAACTTTTTTTTGGCATTGTTCCTAAAAAAAGAGATAATTTCATCGTTTTAAGGCGTCACCTAGCCGACGCTTAGGCGTCAAGGCGCCCTGCGAGCTCTAGGCGTCCAGCTTACCTTTTGTACCTGCGTAAGGCGTCTGCCTTAAGCTTTAGAGCATCTGAGGCATCTGCTTAGGTGTCCGGGTTGTTGCCTTAGTCCGGTGTTGGTTGCACCCCCTTGGACGAGTTGGTTCCCCTGCCGTTTCTTCTTGATGGCGGCGGTGGAAGGAGTTGGGGCGCCGCTGGCACGATTGACCATGGGAGGCGTGAGCAGACAGAGCGACGGTGGTGGTAGCAGCACATGATATGGGGCACCCGGGGGCGTACTCCATCTGGTCGAATTCTGGTGCCACAAGGCCGGACGGCGAGGTTGAGCATGGGATTGGAGGCGGGGGTGGCCCGGGAGGCGGGAAGAGAAGGGGCCGAAAGTTGGTTCATGCCAAGGGAAATGGGAGCCGGCAAAAACGAGGGGAATCCCATAGATATGAAGAAAATGAGCCGGTGTAGCCGGAATCCCACAAAAAAATTCCGACACATGACCCTGAATGTCGAGAACAGGGTAGTTGGTCCTCGGGCAGGAGCC